TTAATTCTGATGATGGTACACAACTTAGAATTAAATTGTGGCATGCTAGTAAATTAGGCCTTGATATGTTTATTAACATATATTAAATTGAGATCATTTGACTAAGTATTGCAATTTTTATTTAATAATTTTCTTTTATGAAAGTTTAATTTAGATAATTGTAACAAGTATGAAATCAACTAGAAATGTGATATTAAAATAGGCCTTGGCATGTTCTTTATTTTATATTAATTTGAGAGCATTTGTATTTGTTTGAAAATTTAGAGATTTTAATTAAAAAAATTAATTAAAATCTATTTAATAATTCTATTGGCTTAATTAAGTTTTTAACTTGATATTTGTAATGGCTGGGGCTTGTTTATTAGTATATATTAAATTGGGACTATTTGGAGTTGCCTTAGAATCTAAAGATTTAATTATCATCATTTAATTAAATTCTACTCTATTGTTCCAATGACCTAATTAAGTTTTTGAATAGATATATGTAATGACCATACTATGTTATTTAACATATATTAATTAGGGATTATTTGGTTGAGATTTGAAACCTAAAGAAATTAATTAGTTTATTTAATTAATTTCCGTTTCTATTGTATTAATGATTTAATCATGTATTTGATATTGGTTGTATGTTTAAATCATGATTTTGGACTTATATTAGATTCATGAGTTTATGTTTCCAATATTGAGTGATATTGTTATAGCGTGTAACGAATCGCACACTGAAGATTCGATATGTGAAGTTATAATGTGTAACGAATCGTACTCTGAAGATTTGACATTTGTCTTGTCATAGTAATTGTGGACTTAAAGGATGTATTGTATATGTTTCCAAATTCGGTTGTGTCTGGTAGATAGTTGATTATCTTGTATATACATGTTGATATATGCGTTGTTGCACAATTTGTTGATTTTGAAAACTTGGGACGTCATTGTATGACTACGGCTAGGGCATGGTTCTAGTATGGGGGATTATCTCCCTATAGTCTAGTGCGCACATAAGGAGGTTACCCGTGGGCTAGTAACCCTAATGTAACCATGTTGTCGGTCTGATCCGGTGTGATATCCGAGTATCCACCTTGTTTGATTTCGCATTTTATTTCAAGTTGATAACTAGATAATGTTGTAACTTGTTGTTCCTTATTTGATTTCCCATTTTAAGTTTCAAGATGTTAACTTTGAGAAATCATGCTTTATGCGTTGTATTGGAAGTTTTAATGTTAGTTAAATTGCATTGATATTGTGATTTGTATTTTATTGTTCTAATGTAGCCTAGGATGATTCCTTAGACTCATTTGGAACATAGACTTTAGGTAGCATGAACCATTTTAGTTGATTTCGCATTTCAGATTTCAAGTTTATAACTTCGATAATCTATACTTTGTTGCATTGTATAGTTTGCTTCTATATTGCTTAATTGTATAAATATTGTAGTTTATGCTATAAATGCTTTGAAGTAGATTAGGATGATCCCTGAGTCTCACTAAGACATAGACGTTAGGTGGCATAATCATTTTGAATTGTTTCACGTAAATGTGAAAACCTTGTAAAAAGTTAGGTCTATGCATGCTCATTCCCTACGAGTAACTTGTTTACTCACCCTAAAGTTATCGGGTTGTTTTCAGGTACGGATGCCTTGGTTTGGGATACACAACATCCCTAGGTCGTTTCGATGGATTGAAGTTCTTTTAAGTGCATTATTGTTCACATACAAGTGTTAGCATGTTTGATTTTTACTTTTAAAGTTGTAACACATATTTAGGACAAAAATGTCATTTTTGCATTGAAACTTGTAATGTGTGCTAAGCACACTTTTTGACACTCATTCTATGTATATGACATGTGGCCAAGGGCCAAACTTCATTTGAAATCCTTGTATATCCAAAAATATTGAATTTTGCCTTTAATGAGAATAATATGAAAAATTAGGGTTTAATATGTCATTTTTGTATCAAAGTATGCATTGTGTATGAAATTCATCCTTTGGCATTCATTTACCATGTATGAGGTGTGGTCAATGGCCAAACGCCATTTTGTTTTAGGTTTTACATTCTTGTTTCATATATTGCATTTTTGGGCAAAAATAGGAAAATCCAAGCCTTTTAAGGGTTCATTTCCAAATCAGGTGGTGCAAAGTGTGCATGAGTACCTCCACTAGGACTCATTTAATATGCATGAAGTGCGGCCAAAGGCCAAACGGTCCTTTGATTGCATTTAGGTCCGGTTGTTGCTTTGTTTACTTTTAAAATACATTTTTCACGTATTGGGGTTTGGATAGGTTATATTTTGCATTGGCAGTATTTTTATGTCGTGGACCATTGTAGCACGTCCTAATAGGTAAGTTACGTTTGCGTGCATGATCGTTTTCAAGAAGAAAAAAAAAATATTAAAACCTAACAAATATAACTTATTGGCAAGTTATTTTATATGCCTCACTCAATGGACTCCACCTCGAGCTCCTTTGCCAAACACAAGAAAATAAAAAATAAAATAAAATTTATTTTCTAAGGAAGATATTTTACTAGCCTAAATAAGTACTACTTTGTCAAAATTTAATAACCACCACATAATCCTCATTAACAATAACCAAAAGAACATCGTAACAGTTTCAAGTTGTTCGTGTAAGCAGTGAATTTTCTTTTGGTATGTAAGACAAACACCCATTGTTAGGACTCAAACCTCAATTTTCCATACTGGAGGAGGAGTTGATACAGTGGAGTTAAGAACTTGATAGTTATGAATAAAATCTGAACTACAAAAAAAGAAAAAGATTTTAACTTTTTTTCCCGACAACGGTTAATTTCTGTTGTCATTGGAATAAAACTCATAGAAACTCACCTTCTGTTGCTTAAAAGAAGAGGTGCACCGTGCTATCTTCCTCATTTTAATGCTATAGTTGTTGATGCCGTTCCTTTTTTGATATTCCATTGAAAGATAATTTAGGTTATTACAAATACAGCAAAAACAACAACACAATCACAAAAATAACAGAAATTATAAAACCATGAAAACTCATTTTACATTTTTTTTTTGCATAATCTGATATAGGGGTATTATAGGCATTTAACAGCGTGTTTATTTTCTTTTTTCGACATGGTGGGGTAGAAAACGTGATTTTGGGAGGGGGGGAAGGGGGAGGGGGGTTTCTTCTTCGTGTTTTTTTAGAAAATGTCGTCTTGGTACCGGAAATCCTTTGCGAAGTTCAGTTTTATGTAATTCATTTTAACAGCTTTTTAACCCTCTTGACTTGATTTTTCTTAGGGGTTTTGTCATTTTTCTTATTTTCCAATTTTGGTTTTACCATAGTTGATTAGAAAACATGATTTTTTGGGGGGTTTCTTCTTTGTGTTTTTCAAAAAAACCTCAGATTGGCCATCAAAAACTCATTTTTTCCTAGAAAACCCTTGTTGTCAGCTTTTTGCTGAACTATAGTACAAGTGTACGGGTGGTTAGATCTTGTAACCGGTTACGTGTGCTTGGGTAGAATATTGTCACCTCTGTTTTTGCCTTGTAATAGGTTAGATAGGCTTTGTAACCAGTTAGAAGGTTTAGGGTTGACTCCTTTTGACATTTTTACCCTTTTTTCTTTTTTTTTTTTTTTTTTTTTTTTTTTTTTTTTTTTCGTTCGTTAGCCATATCTTCTTCGCCCGAACTCCGAATCAAGTGATTTTTGAGTCTAAATTTATTAATTTTTCGTTGTCTTTCCAATTGTGCTCAGTAGCACCCACTTTCATTTTGGAAATGACCATTTACCCCTAGGTTCATTCTTCTCCGTTTCTGAAACGTCGCTTCTGCATTTATTTTCTTTGGGTTCCGTGACCTCATTGAGGGTCACATTGGTGTCTTAGAGACGTGTTTTATCTCTAGAGACCGTTGTTTTATCTTTTACTTTCGCATTCTAGATTCGTTATCGGATCTACGTTCAGTTCATCATAGGACGCATTGGCCTAAAAACCACGGCCGCCACATTTATTATGAATAACTTTGTTGTTTTTTCTAGGGTTTGTTTGGTTAGGTAAAAGTTGTAAGAAAAGAAAATAAAATAATTGAATTTTTTATATACTATTTAGGACTTTGGTTTAAAGGAAAATGAAAATTTTCAGGAAAGTAGGATACTTGTAAATTGTTGATTTTTCACAAAACGTTTCCAATATGAAGGACAAGAAAATTTTATTTTCCTTTTTATACCCCTTATTAGTTGGTGATTTTATGTGTTTTAACTATTTATAGACTTCTAATAGATTTGTCTAACATTAACAGTTAAAAATATTATGAATCCATCATCAAATATAAAACAATTTTAGAATAAATATGAATAATTATTTTATTATTTTTAATAATCTATCATTTTATTATTATGTTATTTTATTTATGCTAAATATAGATATAAACAATTGGGTATATAAAAGGGGATTGGCGTGCAACAAATTTATTTATTTTTTTTTAGTATTTGAAACCTTATGGATAGTTTTGGTTAGTGCAATTATTTTCTTTTGGCATCATGCTATTCAATCCAATAAAATAATATTTTCTCACATCTATATTTAAAATTTTTCATGCTAACCAAAAGAAATTTTCTTTTCTTTTCTTTCAGTTCACTTTATGTTATTTTATTTATGCTAAATATAGATATAAACAATTGGGTATATAAAAGGGGATTGGCGTGCAACAAATTTATTTATTTTTTTTTAGTATTTGAAACCTTATGGATAGTTTTTGGTTAGTGCAATTATTTTCTTTTGGCATCATGCCATTCAATCCAATAAAATAATATTTTCTCACATCTATATTTAAAATTTTTCATGCTAACCAAAAGAAATTTTCTTTTCTTTTCTTTCAGTTCACTTTTTTTCACTTTCAATTTTCCATAACCATTAGAACAACAAATAGTTACAAATTATAATAGTAGTTAGGCAGAAACATGGAATTTTCTTTTGAAATTAAAAATATTAAGCTAATTGGCATCAAGGACGCCTAGAATCACAAGAGAGTTGAACGAGTTATGACTGTGCCTCTTGATCCTTGCACTCTTCAGTTTCTTTGTCTACTCCTGTCACACAGTTTTGAATTTCTCTGCTCTTTCCCCAAAGAAGAATGTACAATCCGGCAATTACAGTGACAGATCCTAACAAGCTGAACATCATGGAGCAATTAATGAATAAAAAGAGAGTGAGTGAGTGATATATATGGAGTAATATAATAATAAGCTAGTTTATAATAGTATCAAGTAGTCATACATGGGAAGTAATGAGGATTAAGCTGTACGTACCTCCCAATATGCAGTTGCTCGTGTAGGATGGGAATATCAAACATGGCTGCCATTATCTGAACAAGGGGACTGAATGCCGCAGTGAAGACAGGACCCCTTTGCTTGACACACCACGACATCCCCACATAGCACAAACCTGATCCTACCATCCCCTGCATCCATCCACCCGCCCATTGCTTGATTGCTTTTAATTAATTAATTAATTATGTCAACTAATTAACAAAAAGATGTAGGGAATAAAGCTGGGTGCAAAAGCAAAAGACTAGATTAATCAAACCAATATATATATATATATGTGTGTGTGTGTGTGTGATGGAGGAGCATATATACCGTCATTCAATACATTAATCATTGGCCGCTCGAGGAAGGAAACTTATACCTGGATTCTTGTTCAAGCCATCGTTGGAAAATAAATAATGCAAAACAGCAATATTATAACATTAATTAGTTGGTTTCAGTTAAGATGCATGCTTACTAATGTCATCAATTTCATTATTGTCCTGGTGATCAACACCTTATTCATGTTGGCTATTAGTTTGGTTTAGAATTATTAATCCGTAAATGCATGTTAAAAGTAAATTCCATGGAATATATGAAAATTTAATAACATGGTCATTTATATTGAGAACATCAATCGCAATATGAAAATGAAAATATTCTTAATTACCAAAATAATAAAAATAATAATAAATAAATTGGAAAAGAAGTTATAAAATGGGAAAGCATGCACGCATACCTGTATCATTTCATTTTCTGCCATCATGATATTTAAGACAGTACTACACGCGTACACACTACTAGCTGGCTAGAGATGGACAACATTAATATTTTTTTAAAATTAAAAAGACCATATATATATATATATATATATATATATACTTACAGCATAGATGACAGTTACGATTTCTATGTTTCCTTTTAGCACCCATACAGAAAGGTTTCTGTCAATGGACAAACTTAAGACAGCAGATTGAATGGCGGCAAAGAAGGTCATTAAAGCAGTACTGGAATACTGGCATGGATATCTTTTGCCTATATATGATTGAAGAGGGAACCAGGAAGACCACAAAAGAGTTCCGGCCATCAAGGCTATCGAACCAATGGTCCATCTCTCTTTCCGGCTTTTAGATGATGAGCTCATGGACGTAATAGCAGCAGCAGCAGCAGCTTGATGCATGGTCTGATTTGCAGCTTGTGGGTGTGAATGTTTAAATAAAGGCATTCCTTTGTAAAGAGTCAATAACATGGCACCTCCAAGACATACTAGAGTACCAACCACTTTGGCTTTTCCTCCTCTGCTTTTTACATTCACAGTCTCTAACCTGCACTTGTTTGTTTCATATATATTACTGTAATTTATTGTACATGACAATATATACAAACATAAACAATTTTAATGTATTACTACCAATAGGGCCATGGATATAATATATATAGTCGATCTGCAGCCAGAGTTAATTTATTTTTAAACATTTACTTACCCGAATGGTAATGCCATTATAAATGTGAGCACTGGCACCATGTTGATGAAGGCACAGGAGAAAGTAGCAGATGTGTATTGAATTCCAAGAAGGAAGAAGTACTGCGTTAGGGACGCCCTACAACAAATCGTCACTTGGGCATTTAATAACAACAATGAAAAGAGAAATTAATTGTACATATTACAAGAAGGAACGATCGATCGAGCAGATGGAAAACAAAGGAACCCATATATATATATATATATGTATGGTACTTGTACTAACCCCACAATTGCACTCAAGAACAGATAACATAAGATGCGAAGTGTGAGCTTGGGTCGTTTATTCCTGCAAGAACAACAGGCTTGATTTATTATATATACTGTTAGGCCCACATATAAACTAGCTAGGCTAGCTAGCTAGAGATCGATGGAGCTCATATATACATATATAATATACCTTTCAAATATGTAGCCAATTGGGGCTAAAAAGATGGTAGAAACTGACTGCCGGTACGTGATGAAGACCAAATGGTTCATTCCCTTATCAACCACTTTCTTGAGAAATATGTTCACAACCGCAAAGGCGAACTCAACCGCTACCATTATGATAACAGGTTTCCATTCATCACAACTCTTCATTTTCAGACTTCTAATCTAAGAAGCAAGCACAATACAACGAGATAGATCTGTTGTGTATATATAAATAAATAAATAAATATATATATATATATACACACACACCTATAACCTATATATCTATCTTATATATATATATACACACACCTATAACCTATATATCTATCTCTGTATGGATGGATATATGAATTTTGTTTCATTTAACAAGACATTATATTATTAACTCATCGAGGCTAGGCAGTCTAAATGGACAGGCCATGCGGGCTCCAGAATAAGTGGTCACAAAGCAAGATTAAATTCTTCAAATCACATCAAACGCTTTAGGCACCAACTTTGACATTAGTTTAATAGATATTCTCTTCTTTTAACTTTCTTTTGACTGATCCTTTTCAACAACTGGAGATTATTGGGGGAATCATTTTCTTGGCTCGTCAAACAATATCATCTTGGCATCAATTCATGATCTCATTCCAAATTACTTTTAGCCTCAATATCATTTACCACTTCTCTCCCCCTCTCTCTCTATATATATGTATATTTTAAAAATCCACTTTCTCTACCCTACTTAATTGAGTCAAGTTTTCCATGTGATTAAATCTCTTTTTGTTATCAGTATTACTGTACTATATAAGCCCATTAATTGGCATCTTTTGAGTGGGGGGTGTAGTAGGAGAAATGCATGGTTCCCCTTCTCCCTCTGCTCTTCATAGCATCTAATACTTCTTTCAGCTGAATGAACAGCATCCTCAGTAATCTCTCTGCGTGGGAAGTAAGAACAATATGTCAAATCTTACGTGATGGAATGAAAAAGAAAAATACAAAGGAATGGATTCTTATGCCAACCATTTAATTTCTGCATTGTTTACTTCTGCCATCCAAGTACTATTATATGCATGATTTGGATGACTTAACATTTTAGATACCTGCCTTTTGTTATTACACACACTAACTAACTAAAAATAAAAAATGTAGCCTATCAGATTAAAGATTTTCCAATTTAAAGTAGACGAGTCGCAGCTGGAACATATCCAGCCTGCCCTTGAGCATTTGTGCTTGTGCCTGACCACAACAATCCCATCATCTGGAAGATTGGTACATAAACCTCCTTCCTTTATTTTTTATTATTATTTTTTTTTCTCAGTTCACATATGGCTAATACTTTATCAGAATGTGGGGAAACGATGGCCGTTACCTGACAATTTATTTTTATTTATTTATTTTTCATTGGCATGAAATTAACACACCCATTCCTAGGAGACTCAAACCCTCGCATTTTCCTTTGGGAGGTAAATTAAGGAGATATCATTAGACTAAAACCTTTGGTACCATGATAAATTTCTAAGCCAAGGGACTGTACTTTTGTAAATGTTATGTACAAGATCTTTTACATCCCAAGTTTGTCATACAAAAAAATAAAAAGCTTTTACATCCCTAGCTACCTGCTGGATGACTTGGATCTAAATCAATGTAACTTGTAGAGCAACATAAAGAGTGGTAATATGCAAACAAATGGTGGGCTACAACTTGTGAGTTAGGCGCGGTTCGAGCGAGAGCTAACAGTGATTAAGTTATGATTAACTCTCTAAATGACCTAGATGAGGTGATTAGGTCAACTTGTCCAATTTTTGTAATTGATTAATTTATACATAAGTATGATCAATTCAACATCCACAACCACAAAAATAAATACTGAAAAGTAAAACAAAGTTAGAGAGATGACATAAGGATTTTAGTGAGGAAATTAATTAGAAAACTTCGAGTATTTTTGTGTTGTTCCAAGCGTAAACGATCCACTACGTATGAAGCAAAATATACCGAACTTTGACTTATGCTCACACCCCTTCCCTCTACCAAGACTCAATCCGCTGAACCTCTAATTTTGTGACTTCTCGTCCAATAGCTCTTGACTTCATACTTATACCTCGAACCTTGTAGAAGGATTGCTGGTAGATCAACAATACTCCGAAAAAGTGCCTTGATCCCTTCAAAGTGTGATAAAAAAATCTTCTTATTCAAATCTGAATTTTATGTGAAGGTTGATAAATCCTACTTCTCAGAATTTCTAAATCTTCAATTAAGCTCTAATCTCAATGAGATAGCGAACAACACTCATAAATTACTCTTGTGTTTATGTGTGTGCTCTCAAAACAAAATCAGAAAATTCAAGTTTGATTTTCTAAAAAATATCTCTCAATATACCCTGAATTTTTTTTCCAAAAAGCGGTCCTTAATTTTGAGTAAAAGAGAGATTATATAGAATTTTGGAAGACCTAAAAACTCTTAGAAAACAAACCAATTTTGTGCATAACCAATGTAGAATAAGTCTACCCAAAATAGGAATCAAAATAAACCAAGAAACATAGTTACCAAAAAGGTCTAAAGGAGTTGAATCAGTTCAAGTGGAGTTTAACTGGTTCAAGATGGCCAGAAAGTATTTTGAGAAAATGACAATGAAACTTAAACCGCTTCAACCGGTTCAGGTTGGCCAGACTTGAACATCTTGAAAAGCCTTTAAAAGTTGAACTAGTTCAAGTTTTGTTGAATCGGTTCAAGTTAGGCAGAATGAAAATTTTCTCTAAAAGCCTAATTTTGGACCACCCAAGTGTCCTCACACATGCTCGCATACCTTACTAAGGCATTGTTCTCATCATCACAGAGTGTATCGAAGCATAAACACGATCACTTCTTCAATTTCGCTTCCGATCTCGAGTCTTGACAAATCGAACAAAATTCTACAAAACGTGATCGGACTCATTTTGACAATGAAATTTGCCAAAATACAAATTTAAATTTTACATTAATCTTACCTCTTTGGCAATTTCGTGACAAAACCCCTAAGACAACATGTAATTTACCTAGGCCCCAAATCATATAGAGCTTCTAAATTGAACGTAATAAGAATATAGACTCTACAAGAATATAAAAGCAAAATAAGTAGAATTAAGATCAATTTATTGAAGTTCCACAACTTACTTAGTGTAGTAAAATTACCACCAAGTTTAAAAAATAAATCATCTACCAATTGTTTAGATTTCAGACAATAAATCAATTACACCACGTATCTTTAGAAATCAAACAATTAACATGTACAAAAGACCTTTTTATTCCCTTTGAGCTCCAAATTTTATTTTTTTTGTCGTTTTGCACATATGGTGGCATTCATGCTTATGGGCAGCCAACTTTTTCCTTTATTCCCATTTTTTTCAAGTTAAGGTATGTAATGTCCTGGACTTTCTGAATTTTTTGGTATTTTATTTTATTTATTTTTCGTATGTCATTTTGCGCGTTATGTGGGTCCTAGTGATTTTATTGCATTTATTTATTTTACTTGAGCATAGATGTGTCATTTCACTACAAGAAAAGTGGGTTTTTACGACATAGTATTTACGGTGTTTCTTTATTTTTCCTCGTAAAAATTACTTTTTACGGGGTTTATAAGAGAATCCTCGTAATTGTTATATAAATAATTATTCTTTCATGGAATTTTAGCAAGATCCTCATAGAAAAACATTTTTATGGCATTTTAAAGTGCTCGTGAATGTTTACATTTATTTACGGGCCATTTATCCAACTTTAACGGGACAAAAGGTAATCATTAATAAAATATTAAAATTACACTTTTAAGGGATAATTTTTGCCCTATAAATAAGCAATAAAATTTCCCTCCAAAAATTTTCACCCCAAAAATTCACACTCTCGCGCCCAGTACATATTTTATTTTATATTATTATTATTTTTTCAAGCACATACTACTTATTCATTAAAGCCTAATATATATATATATATATATAAAACCAAGCATGAAGCTAAACCAGCTTATAATAACATATAAATCTATATATCATATATTTGCTCAAAAAGGAAAAACGATCTTACCCATGTGCTGGTATAGAGCAGGCTGTGGGATTACTGCCTTTGCCCAAAGATTTGGTAGTCAAGTGGAATAGAGTTTCATTTTTTCCTTGTACTAGCAGATCCAGTATAGAGGGGTCATGGTAGAAGGAAGTTCCATTTAATGCGACTGATGAAGACCAGCAAGCGAGCGACGAAGACTAGTCGAGGACGATGGTACGGTTGCCTTTCTCTGTGATTTTCATGATGATAAAGCTTCAATGGTGCATCGAACAAACCCTTGCCTATTTTCCTATGATTTTCATTGTTGATAAGCCCCAATCTCCATCTATCTCTAGGGGTAACATTTTCATCGTGATAAGCTTCTAAACTTTTTCACATGTTTCTTGTCGATATTTATAGATTTTTATGCGCATATGTTTGTGTGTGTGTCTATATATATATATATATCTGTGTTTATTTATCAATGTGTTTGTTTAATTGATACTTGATTTGTTTTATTTAAGGAATGCTTGACTTATCTGATGCGATTTTGAGGTTAGAGCTGGACCAGAGGAGTTAAAGAATAGGTTAGGGTTTTCAATTTTTCTGATGTATTTATGAAATTGGAGTTAATCTTTGATGTGTATTATGAAATTGAGTTGGGGTTTTCAGTTTATATAAAATCCTAGTTTATATATGTGGAATATGCTATGAGGAGTGCAAGTGTGTTCCTCCTGGGTCATCATTAAAGATCCAGACCAAGTACTCCAAGTTATGGGTCAATTTAAAAGACTAATAGCAATCATGTTAGTTAAATTTCATAATTAATCATGTAACTTGAGAGATTTTTTTGTTTTTTTTTCGAGAATTAATTTTTTATGACTGCTCTACTCTTATCTAGGCATTTTGACCTACTCCATAAATTCACAATATTTGTGGCAATTGTTCTGGTTCAGAAGCTTAAGCATTTAAATGAACAAGTACCAACATTGTCAAATGGGATTATTTTTATGAACTGGTATGTTCCATTTTCCCCCTATTATGTTCCATTTTATTTTCTTCATTTTGCTTGGTTCTTAATCAGCTTGGATGGCCCATAATTGTTCTATGTACCCTTTAAGAAAAGTGTTGTGATCAACTGCCAGAGTCTCCCACAAGTATCAACGTAG